TTGATAATTTTCTAATTTAATTGTCATAGATATCGATTGACATCGGGATTCATTAGTCTAATTGTTAGTTAGCATTCAAATTATTTCTAAGTGGTCTATATTTTACTTGAATGTTGTGTTTCCTTGATTTAATTTAAACATCTCGGATAAAGAGCTATTTATAATTCCAAAATTATTCTGCTTGTATATCTAAGTACCATGTCAATTGATATCACAAATACATTTAGACTCCCATTGTATGCAACCTCTGCACGTAGTAGTGAAATTTTAATTACATGTAAAACATTTGAAGTAATAATAATATGACCATGAGACACACGGGTCAAAGTGTTCCCGTTTTGTAGTCACTTAACACCATTGTGCTGTTTGGAAATTCTTAGCACTCACGGATTATTGCACTTGCGGATTATTGTAGGATCTAGGGAGAATCTGTCATAGTTTGTATAATATATGCATTGTGGATTGCCCATTCAGTTCATTGTAGCGTCAGTGACGCGAATAGGTGGCCAGAGGAAAGAGTGATCGGGTCCTGTCAAACTAAATTTATATAATCATTGGAAACGTATTTGCGGTTTCATGTTTTATCTATACACACACACTTAAAATGTGGGCATGTATCACAGAATGAATTCAGCATTTAATGACGCCAGTGTATATTGGCGTTGAGTGTTAATTTGCCTCGGTGGGATTCCTGAGGACAAAAAAACAGTTGAAACTTAGACCGAATATAATTTTGTCGAAACATTACACATCAGTTGCCTGCAGCTCGTGCTTGTTAAACTGAGACTCTCCCCGATTTTGTTGTTGTTGTGAATCTAAAATTTGTATCTGCATATTTTTGACATTTTTTTTGCTTTGATGTGCTTTTATTCATGTGCATCAGTTTTTTTTTGTGTTCAAGCCATCTTTGCACCATTACGTTCAGTTGATTAGCTTTTGCCATCTGCCATTGTTATCGAGCTGATTGCTGTTTTGGGCTTGGGGAAATGGCACGGATTTATCATCTTTGCTAAAAGGTATGCTTCTTCAATACACCTGTTTTTCGTGGTTTGTGTTCGCTCCCCCACCCCCAATTTTCACCTTGTCACAACATTCTTCTCTGGAGTCTCCATGCAGTGATTACGAGCCACTCGGGAGGCGATTGCGCTTAGTTAAATATCTTTGCTAGACGTAAAACAATTGTTCGTGGTGTGCGTGTGTTGAAACAAAATACCAGACTGGAATTATAATTCACGTTTGTCTTTGGGGGTGTTTGGACAGTCGTTCACATGAGCCACTGTAGTTTTTAGGTAATATTTGTTGAACTCGGTACCATGGCGCATTGCTGGTAAAAATATGTCCATTACTGTTTCGTTATTGGATCGTGCATTAACTTTTTCGTGCCTTTTATTTCACAATGGCCCACTTTAATTATTAATTTTAATGTGCACGAGATTAAATGGCGCTAGTAACACAGAAAATGGGCTGCAAGGCATCGCGATTAATGTCACGCGATTCCTTCCGCTGAGCATGCACTAGAGAGCGGAGCTTTTCGCGAGCGATCCATCACGGTAGGAGCCATCGGGACGCCTGGGTATTAAATATCGCATACAACCCGACATTCTGCCTGATCAGCCATTCCAAGGTAATGTACGATGAGACAAATGCCAGTTGGCAGTGCTGTGACAGTATCACATTAAAATGAACGTTGCTGAAAAATGTATATGACGCTCCGCCAGTCCGACCATGCATCACCACGTACGAAATACATCTCGGTCGCGGCATTGTTTGGTCTCAGAAATATGCTGAGAGATTAGGCGTCTTTATGCTTGTGCAGGAATGCTTTAGTTTGGAAAGATCTGCGGTTTTTTTGGGGGGGTGAAAATATTGCATGGAAGGAATTGTTGCATGCTTAATATCATTTTTTTACAGGATGCAAATTCGTTTTGTGATGACAGCATGCTACGACACTGAGTGATGTCTCGAACATCAAGTGTCTCTTTGACATCCGAATTTTGCGGCAACTTTGCGCCGTGGTCTATAAGCTTAGTTTATTTTTGTGAGTATAATGTCTTAATATGTGGTACATGCAATGTGTATATGCAGAGTACTATATATATGTGTGAAACAGGCATAGATAAACACCCTTTGTGCTTTCAGCTGAGTTGGTACTTTAGGATTATGTGTGGGAACGTGTATTCTTTTTTACTGTAAGTGCTTTGGAGCTTGTATGCGCTTCGGGGCATATGGGCTTATTCAACCTTGTGCTCATGCGGGGCTGTGTGTGAGTGCATGTGTTTGTGTGCAAGCATATGGAAGCATTTGAATATTTTATTGTCTGTATGCACTCGAGTGCCAGAACTATGAGTGTGCACGCATTGTCGGCGTTTATCAGCGTGTGCTCGTCGTACATACGTGTGCGCAAGTGTGGACGGTTGTGTGTCTTGCACTTCTGTATGCGTGTTTATGTTGGCATGCTGCTACGTGTCCCAATGCGCGCTTGTGTCTGCAACCAATTTTCTGTTGAAAGCCTTCTTAATTATCTGCAAGCAGTTGTGACAGTAGGTTCTCATCCTCGGCAAAGAGTAGTTCACTCTTTGCTGAATGCACGGTTTTCGTGTGTGCCTTTTCACAAGGGAATTCTTGTGTTTAGAGCACTTTTGCTCTAAGTTACAAAATGCAGCATCATGCACAGTTTGATATGTTTAAGTTTCAGGGCCTTTTTCTGTTTTTAAAACCACCGTGTGTATGTTGATGGCAATGACGGTGGTTATACATTTAACACGTGTAGGCAAAAAAAAACATTTCGATCTTGTTTTCCTCTTTTAATCACCTTTTGAATTTGGGTTTACAGAGACGTAACAGGTGTTTTAGTGAATGCCGTTGGAATGATTGTGCAGCACATTCAAAATTTGATTACACTCGCAAGGGTAAGCGGATTGTGTGCATTACTGCTATGAATCTAAATGTGGACCGTGCGTGCAGATGCCTAATATTTCCTACTTCGCAGGAGGAGCATATTTTGTAAGCACCCATGAGTGTAATAGCAATGGATTGTATGTGGATAGGAAATTGACTGAAAAGCAATTTGTGTCAGAGATCATCACAAAGGCATTGGAAAGCCTAAGGTCAACCAAAGTAAATAATTGTAAAGCACGATGATATCGCAAAAAAAAAATTTGTCAGTGTTTTCAGCTATAAAGACATTTGTAAGGTAAAGAAATATCAAGGGTTTAGATCTGCTCTCATACCTACTCCGGTTTTTGTGTGCGATAAATTTAGATGTTGTTCTTTTATGCCGTGATGAAATGAACATTTGAAGAAAAAAAATCACTGCAGTAGCTTACATGGTCATTTAATACTTAGGATTTTCTTGCACAACTGAAAGAGCATTAAAGTACATGCGATGCTTTGCTATAATCCATTTAAGACTTATTGAATAATGGCTTGTGCTCACGTATTGTCGGGGTGAAGTCTTGTGCCGCAAAGGCAGTATGGCACGCACGGTCCTATGGGGAGGGGGGGTGCTTTTACCACCCGGCGCCGACGGACTACGGAGCTTCACTCGGCGTCCGACGTTTCGTCTCGCTGAGCCAGCTCGCATCTTGGCCGCGCTCGCTGCTCGCTGCACACTCGACGGCGAGCACTTCCCAGTACCTCCAGGAGATCCGCCGTGGCCGATATCGATTTTATTTGGGGACTCATTAACTCGACCATCATCGATCCCGTCTTCCCGTAATGCTCAATTTAAATGTTATTCTTGCTATGAGTGGCTTGCTTTAGCACATGGTAAGGCATCCAAATGGAATCTCGGAACCTTGACAAGCATTTTATAATCAGCTTGGCTTCATTTGCACACACACACACAAAACGCCTTTGATGTATTTTCTCTTAATGTGGAATATTTGTGCTTGAAAATATTTAAGCATTTTTTACATTCTGTGTCCGTGTTTTCAGTGCCAAGCCATTGCCCCCTGCAGTGTTAATCATTAGCTTTTACACATTCCAGCTTTTGATTTATTATCTTGCCTGACTGTCCATTGGACTAGTGGACTGTCCAACAGATGATCAGCCCCGAAGCTCTTTCGCTATAGTGGCAGAGCCCAGTACGTTATGCCACGTGAAGTACAATTAGATACAACCATGTATTTATCTTATATTTAAATGTAACTTTTGATTCTTGCTGTCATTTTTCATTTCGTGAAACTGTCACACATTTGTACTTTTCATTTTCCAAGTACTCCATGTAATGCAAACATTTGAAAAAATAATACTATGCTGTCGTACGTTTTTGCAAACAAAAATGTTGAGAAAGAGCAATGTTTTGTTTTTGTTAGACATAAATAACATTCTTTATGTGTACATACTGTTTGCACAGACATATGTGTACTGGAGCCCAAGGTTAAATCTTGACAGATTTGGGCTGTTGTGGATGAAAGCCAAACTGTATGTGGAACTCAAGTGAATATGAGCAAACATGTTTTCTATAATAGCACATTGATGGCATTCAGATTTTGGCAGTTTGCTGCATGAAAACCATGCATTGATATTCGTATAATTTTTTATTATATAACTCTGAATTTTCATAATTGGTAATGAGGGCAATAATAAATAATATTTAATGTTATAATTGTCTGGAAATGATTATGCTTGCTTTTATGTGGCTTGGCAGAGTGTTTTCTTAAGGTGCCTTGCAAGACAATACGTGCCTGTAACAAGAGTGGTATGCTGTACTGTTTAGTGTAAGAGTAACAGGCAAGCCGATACTTGCTTTAGCATGGCAGACGCAAACACTTTCGTAAGTGTTGCTGGTATTTTGGCATACTTTTTCACAGCTGCTGGAGAATGTTAGGTTTTATGTAACATTCATAATTTAAAATAATAATACTACACAAAACAGTTAAGTTAATCTGAGAACATAACAGCATGCGAATTTCACCGAATCAGGGTTAAGGCAGTGCAGTGCGGGCTTATTTTGGGGCGGGGACATTGATCGCGATGTTTTTACTTTTGCCTTTCAGATACAGTCCCAACATGCGCTGCTTGGCGGCACGCGTTAACTATCGGTCCCTGATCGTCATCTGCGCTCTCTTCTCCTTGGTGACCATCCTGCTGTGGAACAAATGTGGCACAGAGAGCACGCACGTCTTGGAGGGCCTAGGCACGGGCAAGGAGCCCGACAGACACCACCGCTCTGTGCTGGGAGATGCGGTGGCCCACGCCGACCCCAATGACATTCCTCAGGGTATGATGCAGCCGGCTGTTGTCGTGGATGGCGGACCCGGCCAAGGGAATGGTGACATGCGCCACCAGCCCCCAGCTGCGCCCGTGGTGTCGCCCGTCCCATTGCTCAAACCCGCGAACGCAGGCAAGCCCCTCGGCATCAAGTACGAAGAGATCGATTGTGTTGTCAATGATGATTACACTGTCAAGGGCCGTCGAGAAGGCAGCGATGTCTATCTGCCCTTCAGCTGGGTGGAGAAGTATTTTGAGGTTTATGGGAAGATCGTCCCGTACGATGGCTTTGAGAGGTTTGAGTTCTCACACTCTTACTCGAAGGTGTACAACCAGCAGGACCTGTACAAGCCAGATGGCGTCTTCATGTCCTTTGAGGGCTACAATGTGGAAGTTCGTGACCGTGTCAAGTGCATCAGTGGAGTGGAAGGTCTGTATGACTTTTAAAAAATGTGTGCACTGCTATGTCAAATATCATTAGCCGCATTATGAGTTTTATATTTCGGTTCAATCTGAGTAAATTATTCGTGAAAGCTAAGAATGTCGAGAAGTGAGTTGAAAACACATGTCAAGCGTATAAATGTAATCTAATTTGGATGTCAGAAAACATTTACATGCCAATTTTTTGTTAGAAAAACTGCATAATATGTAAAATATGTCTGTTGCGTTGATTTACCGACTTCAAGGCTTATTAAAAAGTAAAAAGGTAAATGTTTAAAAGTTTGTACGAGCACATTTAATCATTTAAGTAGTCCTGCGACGTGTACTCTATTCTGTTATGGAACAAGAGGTTTTTCTTATTGATTTTACTGCTTTTTTAACCTTGTGAAAAATAAAGCACAGCATTCTAAAGCTGTCATGAGCTCTACTCGACATCCATTAAGGTTACAGAATATCATTACTATCGATTCAACTTAAACTGTGCATGTCATCAAGGTATGATGTAGAATACATTAAAAAGGTCTCTAGGAAATCTAATTTAACATTACTGTAATATTTCCCGGGGGTGTTTTGGGAAAAAAATAATGGACAAAAAACGTTTGATTTTTCACAACAAGAGGTAACCTTTTTAAGATTCTAGTCCTTGCGTTTGAAGATATTGATTTGTGTTGAGGTCTGGTTTGTAGGTGTAGTTGAGCCTGATGTATACTGCTGATGGAACGCTTAACAAAATGCTGAAAATAAAACGTGGTTAATGTTTCTTAGCAATTCATCATGACCACATCTGTGGGGGGGGGGGGGGGGGGGGAAATCGTCTTTAAGCGAGAAAATATTTTTAGAAAGTCACTTTGATAAGTACTTACACATGTATAGTATAATGTCTATTTTATTTCGATTTAAAGCTTTCGTGACTGCAGGTATTCATCTTCTTGGTTCTTTCGGTAAAGTCACGTAGAATGGAAATAATAAAATAATAACAATAAAACATAATAAAATTATTCTCACGACGTTTCGGCCACAACGCAAGCAGCCGTCCTCAGGTGAAGAACAGGTCTGTCGAGAAGACAGAGTCTGAATTTTTTTTTGTTTCATACTCTGTCTTCTCGACAGACCTATTCTTCACCTGAGGACGGCTGCTTGCGTTGTGGCCGAAACGTCGTGAGAATTATTTTATTATGTTTTATTTTTATTATTTCCCTTCTACATGACTTTACCGAAAGAACCAAGAAAATGTCTATTTTGTTAGGTTTTATGTAAGTCGAGTTTCGTTTGCCTGCTTCTTCATATCAAAAGTACATCTTCTCACATTTGTCGTGCAGGTGTGCCAATATCAACGCAGTGGGGTCCACAGGGCTACTTCTACCCAATCCAGATAGCCCAGTATGGCCTGAGCCACTTCAGCAAAAACCTGACCGAGAAAGCTCCTCGCGTGGAGGTCTATGAGACCGGAGAGGGTGGTGGGCCCTCCTCACACTGGGACGTCCCTGGTGGGTGCTCACTTATCAGCGTAATGGACCGGGAGAGAGCAAACTACGTCAAGCAGTTTGCCACAGCAGGTAAGCGTTTACTGCTGTCCTTACTCCGCAATCCTCGAGGTCATTTATTAAGCAGGGATTGTGAGGACGGCCCATCTGCTTCTCCTGAAAGCTTATGGAGTCTTGCCTGCTGGCATTGTGTCAAATCCCTTGGTTAATTTTATTTCAATCCCCTTGTCAACAAGTTGCCAAGCTTGGAGAAATCACCCGTTATTTTGTACGCGTCTGGTTACTGTGCACACTTTGCGGGAGCTTGGAGTATTTTTCTTGCCTTTAGGCACTATATTTATTTAACATGCATGTAAATCCATGCTTGCATTTTAATTACAATGCAGGCCTACATAGAACTGCGAGATCTATAACAGGAGCAACTGAATGTTTTTTTTACGTCAGAGCTCTGCGGGTTTACGTTTGAATAGCATTACATTACAAAAGAGATGTTTGCCTCAATGGGTTCTCACCCGGTGAAATTATTTCATTCGATGAATTATCTTCTTATTATTATGAGATAATAATGTAACGTACATATGAAGCCTGGGTATACCGTTGTTTTTTTTCATAACTTTCACCTCCTCGTTGCGTAAATGTTGCGGCCATCTTTTTAAGTGACCAATGCATATCGGTTGAGTGACATTCCGTCGTCTACTGCAGAGTCGTCAAAAGGGGTTTCCCGTGCACTCGAGAACACCAAGGACTTCATGCTGTCTTTGAACGTCAAGTTTCAGTCAAACGGCAGCATTTCCGTTGAGCTGGAGACCACCGAGAAGCGGTACACGATACACTATGTCACGAACAAGCAGCTCCTGCACGTAAAAGAGCGAGACATTTACTACGGCATCGGAGAGCGAACCGTGTGGAGCACCCTCACCCGCGACCTCCTCACAGACCTCAAGAAAGGGGTGGGCCTCTCCAACACCAAAGCCGTGAAGCCCACCAAGATACTGATCCGCAAAGTCAGCAGAGTGACGCTGCGTGGGAAAGGGGCGGTCGACAATGTGACCCTGGCCACCACCGCGCACATGGCGGCCTTCTTCGCGGCCAGCGAGTGGCTCATCCGCAACCAGGACGGCAAGGGAGGCTGGCCCATCGGCGTCACGCGCCGGCTCGGGGAGGGCTTTCGGCCGCTGGAACCCGGCTGGTACTCGGCGATGGCACAGGGTCAGGCGATGTCCATACTTGTCCGGGCCTACCGCCTCACGAGGGACGAGCGATACCTGCGTGCTGCTCTCAGAGCAACAGGTCCCTTCACGATTGCATCGCAGGTGAATCTTCTTTGCTGGGCTATAACTTGGGCATCGGTGCTTCGTGAATGTGGGTGCTGTGGTGTTTTATAAAGAAAGAAATAATTAGGTCGTAATGTTTAATTCGATTTCTGGTATTGCGCGTGCACTCTGCAGCTGAAAGTAATCTCGGCTGTTATGTAAGTCTATTTTAATTGCTCCTCGAGGTATATATTTTTTATGTACTTTGCAATCTCATTAAAAGTGTGTCCATCACAAAATGTTTATTTTCAAAGCAGCGCCTTAAATCTTTGAAATGCTGCGCTGTTTTTTTTTCATTGGCAGGACGGCGGGGTGAAGGCAGTCTTCATGAACCGCTACGACTGGTACGAGGAGTACCCCACTTCGCCAAGCTCTTTCGTCCTCAACGGCTTTATCTACTCCCTCATCGGCCTGTACGACCTCAGCCAAACGGCCGGCGAGGCGGAGGGCGGGGATGCGCGACGGCTCTTCCAGCGCGGCATGGAGTCGCTGCGCGCCCTGTTGCCCCTCTACGACTCCGGCGCGGGCACCATCTATGACCTGCGGCACTTCGTGCTGGGCATCGCGCCCAACCTGGCGCGCTGGGACTACCACACGACGCACATTAACCAGTTGCAGTTGCTGGCCTCCATCGACCCCGCGCCGATCTTCAAGGAGACCGTCCGCCGATGGCTGGGCTACATGAAAGGACAAAAAGCTAAACACAACTGAGGCTGGTGTCGTTCCATGTGGAGCTTCTTGGAAGATCTTGAATATAGATGATTATGTAGAGGTTATGTTTTAAATTTAGAGTTTTTTTTTATTAAATAGACATTTGCATAACTTATGTCATAAATGGTCCAAAACCAATTCAAGATGGTACCAAAGAAAGCATGAGATAGAGTAAAGGTGATATGCATTCAATGATTGCTATAATGATAGTTTGGCCAGATGTTATATTTCACCTCCCACATCCAAAATATCCAAAAGTCCTGCCATGCTGTTTTGTGTAAATATCCTTCACTGTTTTAACCACATTTATAATTTCCACAACTCTTTAAGCGAGCAGGAATCGGCTGAGCATTTGGCACTTTCAGAATTTTAAATGGTGGGAATACTTGAAAATGTTTCTTTTCTGTTAAAGCGATAAACATTGATTTTTACATTCCATTTATTACTAACTATATTTCTACGATAATACAGCATGGTCGCGGTTTGGCTACTTTGGACTTATAAGCACAAGTCTAGTTTTTATCTGTTGGAACGGTAAAGGCATGTAATGGCAAAATAAGCCACGGGCTGTTCTTTGTGTGTTAATGCACATTTGTGCTTGTAGGGGATTTTTTTTGGGGTTGAACATCCAGTCAGGTTTGCTTTAAGGTGTGAATTTAGATTGCTGCTTCCAATGTTATATTTTTCAAAGGCTTTTTGTTGAAAGATTATATTTGATACTGTGGGTTTTTTTGTACATCCGAGGCGCCGAGACCATTTTTTCCACACCAATAGGAGCTGGTCACACTCTTTCTCTCTCTCTCCCACCAAGGATCTGCGGATTAAGACTGTGGAGGAGAATCGCACGACAAAGGCACTCGTCGCAGGGTTCCTGCGCCTTGCATTCAGTAGGGGATGCCACTTTTATTTGCTGTGGCACGGTGGTTAATTTTTTGGATTTAATTAGATTAGGAAATATTGCGCAACTCTGTTTTTAATTATTTGACAAACGACGACTTGTAAATTATAAACTATGTTTTATCTTACCAGGTAAGACCCACTTAGCTATATAGCTCTTTTTCAGAAGCGACCTGGCCACAAATAATTTCTTAATGAAGTGGCTTATCGCGTGGACATTTAGAGCCGCCAAATACTCTAAATGCACGTTTCTAAATCTGGAGGGAAAAAGCGAAGGACCTGGAGAAAAATCCACGCGATCATGGAGAGAACTCGCAAACTCCTAATATACAGGTGTCAGGATTGAACCACGATCTCCTGCATACCAGGCAAGGTAGTTAACATCTCGCCACCATGATGTAATAATTCAGTTTACTTATCTACCATGGAATTTGTCAACTGGGATGTTTGGCCAGTTATTTTAAATTAGTACCTTTCATCCATTTTCATTCTAGGGTTTCCTGTTCATATACACATCTGCGCTTTCCTCTTTGTGTTTGATGCATACAAAGGGTCTTACACAGAATGCCACAGGATATCTTGAAGAACGTTGATCTAGCTGAATGTAGTCCAAAGGCAACCTCAGAGAGATGTAATCTGTACACCTCCACATAGTGAGTCATGGGCATTGTCTTGAATAAGATGTTTTTCTTTGGCTAAAGCATCTGCAAAACTCGTGGAGCCCCAAAAACGCAACGGCGGTGGGGGTGGGAACAGGCACACGGTAGCTTCGTGGCCTGTGCAGGCTCCGTAACGGATGAGACGACTCAAAAGGAATTGGCACAGCAAGGCTGTAGGTGAATTTTCAGTGTCAAGAGAGTGTGCTCTGTTGACTCTTGCTATAAAAAACACTCTTCTTGAGAAGCACTTGGATGCCCCGAGATCGGGCATCACCACTCAATACCAGGCATTTTGGACAGCTTTTCAAGCTTTCATTTGTATAGCTGCGAATCCCACGAAATTGGATGTGCTCGACTACAAAGGGTAATACAGTATGCACGTATCAGAGCATGCCTGTGCTTTGGCAACAAATGACTTGATGAATTATCATGGCAGAAAAATAATGTTTTGAATTTAAATTATTGCATGGGTGCATGCTACCTACTCAAAATAGATTATTATTATCTAGTTAAATCAATGTTAGTGGTAACTGCAGAAATGATTACGGTGGCCCCTAGTGGCATAGCACAGTAGTTGCTTTTTTGGGACTACTTTACTGCAGTGTCTGATCTCGTTACCTTCCCAACGCATTAATGCATTTCATATAATTGATGAAACCACGGTGCTTTCAACAAATTGTGAAATATGAATGATGGTCATTAGCTTAAGGCACTGTCAATTGGCACGGGGGGAGGTCAACATCCTGCAAAATATGAAAGGTGTCAGGCTTGTCAGCATGTCGCCAGTGAGTCAAGCTTCAGTCAAAGGACACATCATCATCACGCATGTATTCTTGTAATAAGGTGGATGTCTGAAAATTTCCTGAGTCATGCAGTCTAATGAGTGACTGCACATGTGTCAGTGTTTCTAAATTTCTGCAGCTGATGGTGACGGGTCTTGTGCGAGAGTCGGCACAACCGAAGAGCCATTGCAAGGTGCTCTGGAAGGTGCCATTCATATGACAGATTAAATCGCATGCATTTTAATATTTTGACATTTGCAAGTGAAAAAATTACTTCCAAAATGTGCAGATCACACTGCCGTTAAGCAATGATGATAGACTGGGTCACTTTCCTGTGAATTTCCATCGTCCTGTTTATGACGGTCTACTCCCTCCTCTCCATTTTAGTTAAAAAGGCCCATTTTACAAAATAGTCATAGTAATTTATCTTTGCCTTAGTTGGTAATTCTGACATTCAGGCTTTAGATGTAGTGTGAGATTGAGAATAGATATTTCCATGAATGAAATTATATCCAACCTGTTGTTTTGAAATAGAGGCTGTTCATATGAATAATTTAACCTAGAAATTGGCCCAACATCTTTGCACTTGTGATATGCGTTCGAGAGGGCGCCTTTCAAAGGAGATGGAGCGCTGAAATCAGCTCGTGGTGTGCAATAATTAGGTGGATTGTTACATAGCAGGATAGTGAGAATTGGCTGTGGTTTGGTCAGCCCTTCATCCAGCAGTAGATCGACTAAAGCCAATGATGATGACCTGCGATGCTCCAAGCATCTTGTTTTCCTTGGACTGGTCTCGGGAAAGAGATTCAAATGTCTTTTTTTCTCACCGAGGATCTTAAAGAAAGGAATATTTTCTTCCCAAGACCAGCACATTCAACAAGCGTGAAATGACACATTACATATCGACCTGCATCCAACTTGAGCAGGGTGCATTCAATGAGAGCCTTTAGTTTGTCATGGGAGGAAGAGAAGATGTTTCCATTAGAGAGATTTTGAAGGTGGCAAATTGAAAGGAAGCAAATACATCCATCCACCATTACCAGTTGAATAGCGTCACATCATTGGCAAATGCCAGCTTGAGATGAAGCAGTTCGGAAGAATCAATAGCCCATTTTGAATCCAGACCACAGTTTCTTCTTTGTGTGCAATATGCTTGTCCACTGCCTGTGATGCATAAAAAAAAATGTGGTCCACATTTTGTAAACTCCGCATTTGTGTTCCTGACATCTTTCTGTCCCATTCTTTTAGTTGCCATGGACTAAGACATTGCATGTGTGTGTGTTTTAAATTGCTTTGTCATTAAATTGTGGCTTAGTATGCAGAATGGGTTGTGCAGTTAAAATTTCACAAAGGACATGGACTAAAGTTACAGAGAAAATTAATATCAAACAGACATGCATGCATTATACAATCGCTCTTTGCTGTGGTTATATATAGAGAGCTGTTAATGTGTTTTGACTGACGCAGTTTTGAGTTGAATACCCGATGGAGTGCCACGACAGGAATTGCTTGTGTGCGATTCACCTCCAGAGTATTTGTTTCCATCAAATTCTGGCAGGGGAGAGAGAGATCCGATTTGTATGGAAAGCGTGGCCCTTCCTGGACCACGAAAACAGGGTTAATGTAACTGACTAAACCCTTCTATTTCCGTACGTAAAGGTTTCCGCCTTGCAGTATTTGTGATTTAAAATAAATTATATGGTACGAGAAGAAGTTGATAATGTATGGGTTGTTTGTAATTAAGGAGTGGAATGTGTTTTTTGTGATTTTCATTATAAGCTACACTTTAAGCATATACTGTAATGTATAAAAGCCATACAATGTATTATACGATCGGACGATTTTTTCTTTTGAAAGCTGCCATTGCTGGAATAGGCGGTGTGCAACCTTGCATCGATCATCGGTTTGTCTGCAGGTTTTCATGTGGTAATTAGCCATAATTGCACAGTTTAATGTAATGGATTCCGGTTGTTTTTCGAGTACACACGATGTGTTGTATAACCAGACTGGGAAGCAACATGGACAAAGTCACGTGGCATAATAGGTCATCCTGACTTCACTTTGTAGAATAACGCAGCCTTATCGCTTTTAAACCAGACACATGGCTATTGTGGGAGTACAGAGAATTTTCGTTGCTGCGAAAAAAATTATGGGGGAAAGCACAATGTTATGGCAGATGCGGCTACAGCACATTAGCATTGAGCTTATTTGGCTGGCACTGCGTACGAAATTATCAATGGTTTCACAGCAGTCATTCGCCACGCTTTTGAATTGCTTTAAGTTGGGCAACGCAGTACTTGCATTTAATGGTAGATTATGCGTAAACATGAGCAGTTCTATGAAGTTAGGCAGATGCAATCACTAAATCTATGCAAGGCGTATTCGTTGATCTCCAAAATCGTGTAAAAATAAGGGTACATTAGACTCGTGTGTGCTTCGAGCCTGTTGAGATGCTTTTTAAAACGTATAATGATGGTCCCACTTCATAGCCAAGTTTGGTGGTGAGTTTTTTTGCTATATATATATTTTTCAATCTAATGACATGATTGGTTTGTGGTGTTATAAATGTAGTTTATTTTTATTTTTGAGGTTTTTGTCACCCCAAGTGTGTTGCATTATATGCGAGTGGATTGCATTGTATGTGTACATATAGCTCTACGGTTTTTTTGGTATACAAGGGAATAAAACATTACGGTACAGAAATACGACAGTGAAGTGCTTTGCACAGTAATACCCGTATTGGGACTTACAAATGAAAAAAAACCTAAACAATAGATTTTCCAAGTTCTGAGAATTATTGTTCAGTTGTGTAGCCAAAAAATATATATACCAGATGTTACATTTTTGTTTTCCCAGTACAGATTCAATTCCCTTGTATTTTATTCTCATACAGTTATATAGCCCAAAGGAATATTTTGTATACCATGATTATGAACGGAATTTTCTTTCAATATGTTCACTTAAAATTGTAAAAATAAATGTATAAATATTTTACACTCAATTTATTTTGCCACCAATTGTAAAAAAATGGATAGTATATTGAAAATATACACTGTATATGCAATGAAATTGGGCCTTCCATTGTTATCCAGTACAACCACTTAACTATGTAACCCCATTTAATTAAACATGCTATTAGTCGGAAGTAATATTTCTTACCTTAAACAATCACCCCATTACTGGTTTATAATACAATTTCCAATTGAAGTGGGCATTCCCTTTAATTCCTATGTGAACAAAGGAAGGTCCAACCCATAATTTGTATTGGATAACAATGCATCTTCCCTTTCCCAGATATAGTATTGCATGGCACAATTACACCAATCGACATGTAGCAGGATAACCACACATTTAAAATGCTCAGTTATGTACCACATGTATACAGTATGTGGGGCCACCTTGTGGCCAAAATGATCCGTATACATGCACAATGCTACGTAACAAAATATATCGAGTCGGAAGCCCTGTAGCAGCAGGGTGTACATATCTTCTGCCCCTACCAAGGTAAACCACCCTATGTCTTTTTCTTCAATATTACAACACCTATTGCAATTATAGCCTACAGATATAGACCATACAGAGGGTTACTTGGGGGTTCCTGTCAAGGAGCCATAGTAGTGTGATGGGGAGTTAACACTCAATTCTCCCTCGCCTGCTCGCGGACTGCGACAGACCAAGTTGCTTTATTTTCTTGTATCGCTGTTAGATGTGTGCGCAATGCCATTATTTATATATACTATTGGAACCACATTTCACTAAATTACATGATTTTGTTTTTCTTGTAAATCTTTACAGGATGAGCATTCGTTATTTCAATGTTACACAATCACGAACGAAACGCATAAATGAAATTATCACAGACACCAGCACACTTGAATATTTATCGGTGGTTGATCAGTTTTGTTAAATGGATTTTCCCCAAACTGGATAATGAGTTATGAAAAGTTGTACCAATGAAGCACAATGTTTATTATTATTATAATAATTATTTCAAACGTTCATTGTAAGCGATTCTTGACAGTTAATTTACGGTACCTCTGGTCAGTGTATGCACAATTAGAAAACACAACATTGCACAGTGCTTGTGAATATATCATAAACCTCGGTATTTTTGCCCACATTTGGTGCGTGCACTATTCAAGCACAACACGCATTAGAATATTTCTGCCGCTGGTATATCACACATTTTCGTTCAAAGCAAACTGCATCGCCGTTTTTTTTATTTTGTGAAAATTTGCGGTCCCCGTGTATGTACATTTAAATGTGCTTATATTAAAAGCTGCTCTGAAAATGCCCAATGACATCTGATGTATTTGTCATTGAAGTTGTGCTTTGTTATTAATTTCCAACCGAGCTCCCGTGAAATTGGCACCCTTTTAGTTGCCGTGTTTATTATGTGGTGCACTCGACGTCCCGCAAGCTTTGAAAAGAAGAAGAAAATCCTCTACTTTGTTATTGTGTGTGTACAAACACGTAAGCAGGCGTCTGACTTTAAAGCATGCACATGAGTATAGTAACGGTTAAAATGTAATTTTATCCATTGTTAAAATTTGTACTGTCAAAATCACAACTGCTGGTGGTATGCTGGCACTTAAATGTGACATTCTACGTCCTACAATTATCATCATCTTTATAAAGGTTAGACGGTGCTGATCGTATGTTTGGACTCGGATTGGATTCTTTCAACTGATATATACGGATTTTTTTTTTAATTCAGCAGAGTTTCACATTTTGCATGAGCTGGGAATCAATATGTGGAGCAATTACAACTGCGTGGGGTTTCGCAGTTGTGCTGCATAGCCATCCGATGTTTTTGGTTTGCACTTGAGGCGATTAACTCATCTTCTTGGTTCTTTCGGTAAAGTCACGTAGAAGGGAAGTAATAAA